GGATGTTCCTCCTTTACACAGGGAAGTCAGGTAAGGCCTTACTGATAGGTGACATTTTCATGAAGCCTTCTTAGAAGTAAGAGAACGTGCTGTAGGCATAGTGAACAGCAGGTGCAAAGGCCTTGAGGCAGAATCACACTTGAAATTTTTGATGAGCAACAAGAGCTGGAAAATCATGTCCAAGGTCACAGCGGATGGCATTTATGTAAGAGCCTGAACCACTGTAAGGAGTTTTATTTTTAATAATGAACCAGAAACCACAGGAAGATTTGCACAGAGGAGTGTTGTGTCCTGGCTTAGGTTTCAAAGGATTCCCTTGGCTGCTGGAATAAGACCAAAAGCAAGGAGACCACTTAAAAGGCTATTGCAGTAATCCAGGTGAGCAATCAAGTTGGCTTGGATCAGGATAGAAGCAGAGAGGTGGTGAGAAGTGCTAGAATTCTGGGTATTTTTAAAATGCAGAGCCAAAAAGATTTGCTGACTGGTTGGGTATGGGTGTTATAGTATTAATTCAAGGGTGACTCTAGGTTTTGCCTTTGCCCACTAAAATGGTTGGAGTTACTGTTTTCTGAGATGGGGAAATTTGTAAGTGGAGCAGGTTTGGATGGGCATAAATCAATAATTTTTGGATATGTTGAGTTCAGGGTGCCCGTTGACAAGTAAAGGTTTGCAAGGCACTGGTAAAGTGAACATGGAGTCTGGGCTGGGGATATAAATAGACAATCTCATGTATTGTCTATGGCATAGTTGAGTACTTGTGACAGAGATTGTATGACCTGCGAAGCTTATACTATTTACTATCTGGTCCTTTGTAGAAACGGTTTTGTTGACCCCTGAGTTAGAGCCTAGAGAGCTAAGGAAGAACTAATGAAAAAGACTAAAAAATAATAGCAAGTGAATGTATTGTCCTGGAAAGGAAATGAAGAAAGTGCTTCAAGAATGATGCTTGGTCAGCTGTTTCAAGTGCTGCTGTCGGGTCAAATAAAATGAGGATTAAGACTTGACTACTGGATTTAATGGTGTGTGGGGCATAGGTGACCTCAATAAGAGCTGTGTTGGTGAAATAGTGTAGGCAAAAGTATGATAAAAGTAGGTTCAAGAAATACTGGGAGGAGAGCAATGGAAGATACCCAGTACAGACAACTGTTTCAGAGAGTCGAGAGGGAAAGTGGAACAGAGAATGAGGTCATAGCTGCGAAAATGGGTATGGAATAAATGAGAGATTTTTGGGTTTGTTTTTAAGATGGCAGCTGTGGGATTGATGAGAATGATTTACCAGGTAAAGAAATATTGATGGTAAGTGAGAGATAGAGGGAGTTCGTTGGACTGAGATCCTTGAGTTATGTGATAAGGAATGGGATAACATGCACAATGGAGAGGTCGGCTCTTGCTCAGGGCGTGACAGTTCCTCCCTGACAACCAGAGGGATGTCAGAGCACACAGGTAGTGCATACAGTTGGTAGATAGGATCATGAAAAATGTAGAAATGTCTTCTGATTGTTCCTGTTGTCTCAGTGAGCTGGAAATCAAGCCGACTGAGAATGAAATGCCTGAGGAGGCACGAGAAGTTTGAGGGGAGAGGAGAAAGTGTGACACAGTCTTCCAGGAGGGAGAGAAATGAAGTTGGCAGTCGTGACAACAGCCAATGGCAGTTGACTGACATTGCTTGGCAGTTGTGACTTTAAAGTGAGATAAGTTAGCATGACGTTAGTCTTTTTTGCATCCGTGATCATCTGCATGGGTACTGGTTGGGGTTTTGTCATGTAAGTGTGACTGAAGTAGAGGGGAAGGGAGCTGAGGATGAATGTGATGCTAAATGATTGCCCACGGAATCTAAGCTAGGTGAGGAGGGAAATGAGGACACGAAGCATGTGAGGGAGAGTGAAAAAGTGGTAGAATCAACGAAGGTCAGAAATTGTTGGAGTCCGGGTGTTAGAAGGAGTGAGCTGTAAAGAGAGCAGGTGGTGATCAGAGAGTGAGACTCTTGACATTGAGATTACGGAGCAGCTGCGGTTATCGGTAATGATAGGTTTTGGGGTGTGACGGTGGAAGTGGGTGGCTGAGGAAGGGTAATAGACAAAGTGTCTGAGAAAAGTTTGGTCAGCGAATTGACAGGCCAGAATATTAGAAAGGTCAGCAATTGAATATCGAAATCTCCAATGTATATAATATGTGTGTGTATATATAT